AATAAGCCTATACAAGGAAACTATGTACAAGTTTATATAGAAAATATGAAAAGGTCTTCAAAATCATCCCATTCCTCTTGGTTCTTTTAAAGTATTACCTCTTGGATTCCTTGGCCTTGGCATATTTCCATCAAGGAGTGGACGATAATACTCATTGTACTTCATTTCGTATTTAGTGGAACCCTTCAGTTGAAGGAGACTGGACGTAGCTCGGTCTGAGTGAACCAATATAAAATAACTTGCACTGCAAACTCATATTTCTTTTAGACGCATATCTTCCTTATTTATTAAATCTTTGTGAAAAACTTCGTCCACCAATAACCTCTAAGTGAAATCATCTTTCAGACGCAGACACAAACCTTGATTAACATAACTAGAACACTAAAGAGCTTTATCTACTGCTTATCTTTATATGAAACTATCTTGAAAAGGAAAATGCAAGAACTTTAATCATTATTGTTATATGAAACATTTTCCCTCAGTAGACGATAAAATGCATTGGACGAAGAACATTATTCTTGCAAAAATGCATTGGATGAAGAACATTATTCTTGCAAAAATGGTTTAAAATTCCTTGTTACACACACACATATATTCAACCCTCCTTCTATGTGTTCCATATCTAACTTCAGTTATATGTTTGAACTCATAAGTCAGATTGGAACTTACGTGTGTTTTTTATTTGTTAGAAACTCATATTTAGAACTTGTTTTATCTTCTTAAAACTCATGAATGACATTATGAAATTATGTTAAAATGTGTTTGTAATTTTTTTGGGTTTTCTTTAAGGTATGATGTGAATTTTTTAAAATTTATAGGTATGAAATATGTATTACATAAATATTTAAATTTTTTTTAATAGAAACCAAGTCATGCAATTTAATAGGTGACTCACGGTTCGACCTCTGACTCACTGAAACAGTACCCTCACCGATTTAATAATCGGAATAATCGATCCGATTTTTAAAACACTGACTAAAATCAACTCTTTTAGTAACTTAAACCAAACCTATTTATATAATCTCCTCTTTACACTCTAAGACAGAAAAGCATATTTTTAATTTTTACCAATTTTTATGTTTGTACTTCATAAGCTTTTCATTAAATAAACTATCAGATATACCATTTTAATTTTATATTATAATTATTTTTTGTATTGTCAATTTATTTTTAAATTACTTTTAAAACTTTTTAAAAATATTATTATGTTATTTTTTATTACATGAAATAAAACCATATAGTTAAATGAAAATTAATATTTACATCATTTATAACTTTCATTCTTTATTTTACAAAAAAATTAATTTAGCGTTCAAATTAGTATCAATTTGTAGTTACGTTTTTAAACTTTTAATAACAATAATATATTTATTAAATACCTTTTAATTTACACTGAAATTTTTTTATTATATTGAAATAAATTATTTTACCGTTTAAAATTTTTATAAACAATAATACAATTTTTAAAAATATTTTGTATTTTGAATAAGATTATATTTATTTCATATTTTAAAGAATATAATTTTAATATTTTTACTATATATTGACATATTTAAATTCTATTTTAAATATTTTTATCATCTAAAATCTGTACTTGACATAATATTGAAGGTTTTAAATATTTATAATTTATATTTAATTCTTTTATTAATATTAATATATACTTATCATTTAATTAATATAAGTCATAATTTAATTAAGAAGACACTGTTATATTAATTTCCAAAATTAAAAATTGTAAAATATATTTTATAAAAGTTCAAATTTGTAATTATTTAAGTCTAAAATTAAAAAATAACGATATTGATAAAACTAAATTTAGAGACGAATCTAATATTTAAAAAATTTATTCACTAATTTTTTAACTTTAGGAAGTAAAATATTTGAACGTCTTTCAAGATCGTGGGTGTTTAGTGTTTACTTAATTAAAAAATAATAATGAATAAAAATATTGAGAATAATAATATTGGTTAGTTTATTGCGCAATGAGGAAATTAGGGGCCATAGTTAGTGATAGTCATATAGGTTGTCATTATTTTAGTTTTCGTGCTCTGCACCAACCCTCCCTCTGTGTCTTGAATTGTGGCAAGTGTAGAGGGGGATGTCGCAGGGCACAGGCACAGGCTCAGGCAGCAGCAATGTGGTGGATTTCGACCTTCCCGACGAGATTCTCTCGGTCATACCGACCGACCCATACCAACAGCTCGATCTCGCTCGCAAGATAACCTCCATGGCCATCGCCTCCCGCGTTTCCTCCCTCGAATCCGACGCCTCCCGTCTCCGCCACAAGCTTCTCGAAAAGGACCGCCTCATCGCCGACCTCGAGGACCGCGTCTCCTCCCTCACCCGCGCCTCTCACCAGACCCAGTCCACCCTCAACAACGCCCTCAACGAAAACGTACCTTCGCCTTCTTTTCTCTCCCCCTTTTCATAGTGTTTCCTTTTTTCTTATTATAATTCTTGGAACCCACGAGTTCTTGGTTTGGGTGTACTAGATTTCGGTCCCCTTGGACTCCGGTTCTGTATAATGAAAACATGTTCAGAGGGGAGACTGACCAATGATTACCCACAAAATAGTATAATTCCAGGAAAAATAGTTTTAACTGTTTTCTTCTAAGCTATAACCTGGCGTCGAGCAGCTATTAGTCGTATGATAAACTATTTGTTGAAGCTTTTTCAAATACTTACGCAAGTGTTTGTCATAAGTTCTAAATAAGCTCTTCTAAATGGGGACTTGGTGAAAGCTTGACAGAGGAAATGAGCGAGTAGTATTGAGTGGACAACCAGGCGTTACTGTCAAGATTGATGAGATCCCACATCTACTAGTTATAAGGTCAAAGTAATGTATGTAAGTGGGAATGGGAAATAATTTTTCTCTTACAAGTTAGTTTTGTGAGGTTAAATTAGGGTCTTCTTAGTTCAAAGGAGGGGAGGGGAGGGATTTTAATGGAGGGGAAGGAAGGGGAGTAGAGAAGTTAGAAATTTTGTTTGGTTGAGAGGATGAGAGGATTTTAAAAACCGATTTACTTTTGTATCCTAATAATTTTAAATTTAATAACATAAGTAAGGATATTTTGGACATTATACTAAAAATATTTTAAAATCCCACCCCTCCACTCCAAATCTTCCCAATATTTGAGGGGAGCTAAAATTAGATAAGGAGAGGTTTTGCTCCCCTCCCCTCCAACCAAACACTATGTTAGGCCCATAGTCTACTTTCTTAAGAACTGATATTACTTGAAATGTGTATGTAATGATTAAATGTAAAGGAACAAGTGTTTATTTTGAAAAGACTGAGTGTTGAAACTTGAAAATGAATGGTTGTTTTTTCAAAGTGAACTAAACTAAACTTGGTGTGCTTTGGAGAAAGAAATAACTATTTTAGCAGATTATTCTTTTGGCAAACATGTGCTTAATGAGTATTGAGTGTTGAAACTTGAAAATGAATGGTTGTTTTTTCAAAGTGAACTAAACTAAACTTGGTGTGCTTTGGAGAAAGAAATAACTATTTTAGCAGATTATTCTTTTGGCAAACATGTGCTTAATGAGTATTGATGATTATCCATTATGTAAAATTGGCTTCTTTTGTTCTCTTGCGGGATAAGCATTGTTTGTGTGTTTGTAAGGATTGAGAATCTTGTTTTATGTGGAAGAGTGAAGAGGGGATGAATAGAGGGAAATGAAGGAATTAGATGTGAGAAAGTGGTTATTGACTGTAGATTGGTTTTGGTTTGTTATGGTTGTTCATTGTTATGTTCGGTCTTTTCAATGGAAGGAAAAGATTAGTTCTTTTCTTGCATTCTAGTGTCAGTCTTTAGTAATTGACTATGGATAAGATATTTTAAATATAAGGTGAGTGCAAGAGAGGATGAACAAGAAGCTTGGCAATTTGTATTTGCTTGTGTGAAGAATTTAAGATTTTGGAAGTTTTGTTCAATTTAATAAGATGATGTTATTTGAATTGATGGTGGGTGGGTGATTTTATGTTCTGATTTTTGGTTGTAGATAAAGCTTACGAAGGAGAGGGACCAATTGGCAGCAACAGTGAAGAAGCTAAGTCGAGACTTTGCCAAGGTGAAGAGTTGTATGATTTCTGTATTCTGCCTTGCTTTTTATTTATTTTATGTGTGTATATCCTGTCTGTCTATGCTCTTCAGAAAATTTCAGCTGCTGCCATTATTTGTCCTAGAACTGTGCTTAGTTTTGTATCCCTTCCTATGTTTTACATTTTGGTAAGACAGTAAAATGTTGTCAGGCATTTGTTTCAAGTTATCAATCAAAAAGATAGATAAGCAATATTAACTTCTTGGTTGGTGTTGGTTTTATATATCTCAAAATTTTGTTTTAGTTGTATCATTATGTGGTGAATACTTCAAGCTTCAAAATAAGTTGTTACTACTCTTGGGTTGTATTGAAGTTTGTTTTGATTTGTGTTTGAAGTGTTTCTTAGATCGGAAAATCTCATGATCTCACCTCTTGCTTTGACATGGTTTCAGGCTATGAAGCCCATATACTTAGTAGACACAGGTACAATACGACATGGATACAAGGATAGGATAATTTCTTAAAAATTTAGGATACGTTAATAAAATTTTATAGAAAACTTTATATAGATGTAGAATATTGGTAAAGAAAGAGACATTAATTCTTTCTTGTTAATTCATAACTATGTTCATAACTATGATGATTATAGTTTACAAAAAAGATATTTGTAATCATGACAACAAAAAATACAGTTTTTGAGCATATTAAGTTAACTATATTAATAAAAGCATCTTTGGTAGAACTTAAAGCAAATATTGGTTCTATATAATAGCTTATGACTCCAAAAACATTACTAAATTACTGTCTAATGTTAACTGTATCACTCTTTTCTTCCCTGTCAACATCATATAGAAAGAAACATAGTTTCAAAGTTTGGTTCATCAAGAGCGAACTCTTCCGATTCAAGAAGTCTAGCACCATCATCAAGTGGATGATGTATACCTCTACTAATGTCTCACAACCTAGTCTCTCCTTTTGTATACTCTTCATCTTTCATAAACAAAAGTTGAAGGTTGAAATGCAAATAAACCGAATCTTCTATCCTTTTGGATCCATTTTTTTTCCTCAAAGAATGAATAAAGGAGTATGTACTCCAATTCCTTTCTTGACATGACAAAAAACACAACCGTACAAAATGCTTAAGACAACTTTTCTTTTTTATTTTTTTCTGGATACTTTTCAGATACATATCTAGAAGTATCTAACAAGTATCCGACAAAAAACAGGTTAAAAAATAAATAAAAAAGATTGGATACTTTTCGGATACGTATTTGGTAGTATTTGAGGAGTATCGGTATCTGACATGGTTTGACATCGATATTTTTCCATGTTTGGAGTATCCGGGCTTCATAAAGAATAATGGTTCAAAACTTAGTGATTTGACATTGAGATTAGGAGAAAGAGAAGAAAGATGTCTTTAAATGAGACACATTCACATATGGATTAATGTGTAACATATCAATCTCTAAGGGCAGGAGTGCGATATTCATAACAAAAGGAAGAAAAAGTGTAATTAGAGTAACTTGTAAGGGATGCTATTTTATTTCATCTTTATATTCATTCGGTACTAGATTTAATATTTCTATCTCTTTAATTTATGATTTCAAACTCCCGCAACAATTGGTGTGCTTAATTGTGTTCCCATATATGTAAAAATTGGCCTATTTTACAGCATGCATATTTTTTCTGTTGATGAGTATCGATAATACTGACTTGATTGTGAAAATACTATTTCTTTTTATCTTTCCCTTCTCAATTTTATGTAGACTTGACATCTTTTCTTTTTTCTATTTTCTAGTTGGAGACATTTAAAAAACAACTTATGCAGTCGCTAACTGATGATAATGCATCGGTAAGACATCAATATATCAACTTAGCTATACTTGTAACAATGGGGCACTAAAATTTTGTTCCCAAAATAACCTGTATTATTATCCTAAACAAGATTGTTTTCCCCTTCATTCTTTTTCTTTGCTCTTGTTACAGCAGGCTGAAACCATAGATATTGGAACCTGTGACCAATCAGTTCCAAAGGCATATCCTGATAAGGGTACTCTCTACCTGATTGATTATTTGCACTTATCCCTTCCTAGTGTTTGTTGGAAGTTATTTTTACCCATTTCTTATATGTATTTCTTGCAGATGATGATGGAAGTGGCTATATGGCACATCATTCACACAATGGCCCTGCAGATGTGGGTAAAACAAATGATGAAGGTATATGAATTTTCTAGACATATCATTCATTGCAAATCATGCTAATAATGTTCAATATCACAAGTGAACGATATTTCTTGATAAAAGTAGTATCATGCATAAGAACTTGTGTAAGAAAGTAGACTTCAATACTCAATAATATTTAGCATTTTTTAAATGAATTCTGTTCCACTTCCTTTTGAGTATGATTTGTCATCCTTTGGTCATACTTCACTGGCATCCTTTGCAGGTGTTTAAAATTTAATGTCATGCATGATAATTCCCTTTTATTCCTTGCCTTTTTGCTTCTATAGCTTCGAGGTATTCAGGGCAAAGGTTTTCTTTGACCCCATATATCACACCACGTCTTACACCATCTGGAACTCCAAAGGTGATTTCAACGGCTGGGTCTCCTAGAGGATATTCTGCAGCTGGATCACCTAAGAAAACTTCTGGGTCCACCTCTCCTACAAAGCTTCCATATGAAGGCCGAACATCTCTCTCTTCATGGTATTCATCTAGTCAGCAGTCATCAGCAGCAAACTCTCCCCCTCGGGGACGATCACTTCCAGGTTTAAACGATTTATTGTTATGAAATTTCCCAATCTTTCTAATATTGGGCCTTGAAGCTTGTTAATTTTCTTTGCTCTTTACCCCATTTTACCAAGCATTCTTGATATTGGAATATTGTCCACCTAATGCTGGCACTTGGTGCCTCATAACCTGTAAAATTTCTTTAGGTCGTACTCCAAAAATTGATGGAAAGGAGTTTTTTCGTCAGGCCAGGTAACTTTCTTTCTCCATGCCATAGCAAAGTTACTTCAAATTACTTAAAGAATCTGACCGAGTTGATTACATGCATCACTTTTTCAGGAGTCGCCTTTCATACGAGCAGTTCAGTGCATTTCTCGCTAACATAAAGGAATTAAATGCTCAGAAGCAAACAAGGGAGGTAAATAAATATTGAATAGTCGTGTTGGATTTTGAACTGAAACTATTTCCAAGCAGCTAATTATTGTTCCACTTGTTCCGTGTCCTTTTAGGAAACTTTAAGAAAAGCAGATGAGATATTTGGGTCAGATAACAAAGATCTTTACTTATCGTTTCAAGGATTGCTTAACCGGAATGCACGCTAGAACTGAATGCAGCATTGCTGGATATTGTATGAGTTGGTATGCAAATAGTTATCATTTCTCTCCTTGTTTCAATCTGCATTTTCTTTTTCAATTGTGGATGAACTTGCTTGCACATATTGGTATACTATTTATAAGCCAGCATTTATTACCTTAAGAAATCTGACAGTGTTATTTGCTATTCAGCTACTTGCAGCTTTATTTATTTATTTATTTTATAGCCATGGGAATTGAAAACTGGTAATAAGGGTTTTTACAACACACACATCTTGTTCTACTAAGTAAGCTAGACCCCCTTTGATACTTGCAGCCTTTGATCATGAGTATTTCATGATAATGTTCTGATGTAGTGATGCTTATTCCATGATATTTTGGTCTTTTTAAATAAGTAGTACTTGGGTGCAACACACTTGTCTAATATAGGGGGGAAGTGGGCTTCCTTGAGCTGGTGGATTTAGTGATAGAAATTCTATTTGGTCAAATAAATCTTCTGCATGTCCCATGACTTGGATGGTTCTGAGAGTTTAAAGAGTGTATTTATGTGTGTTACGTGTTTGGCAAGTATACCAATTGTCGTAGCTAATAAATTGGACAAAAGTTCAAGTTATCAAATCCACATGAACTTGAGAAATTCTCTGTTATTTTAGAAAAATCCTAATTCATTGGTAACTTGAGAAAATTACCAATGAATTGGAGTTTTTCTCAAACAAACCACATTAAGGTCGGGGATATAAAAATTGATTGATAAGACGTATCCTATTCCTAGTAACAAGGTTATCAACATTTTATCTAGATCATAATTCGAAAAGGGTTTCCCAATCTTTATTAAAATTATAAAATCATGCAATGGTTGATCAAGTCAAAACAAACATTAAGTATAAAGTAAAAGTAATAAATTGAATAAAAACATTGTGTTGAATGAGAACATGGAAGATTACATGAGTTAGTTACCTACCTCAGTCCCTAACAAAAGAGACTTAGCTACTCATGGCTAAGAATTACACAAGAAAATATGGGATCTTTGTCCAAGATTATAGAAATGCTCTCACAAGTATTCTCTTTAATCTCTCCAAATTTTTGTTCGTAAAAACTAAGATGAGAAGCCTCTCATGAAACTCTAATTTATAATAACTTGAATGGGCTTTTGCCTGTGCATGCATGCTTATAGTGAGCAGTTCATTCGCTTAACTGAGCTAGCATATGCTCCCAGGGGTGTTTCTGTGTCAGCTCACTTAAAGTGAGCAACTTTGTCACTTTAAGTGAATTTCTTTGAAGAAGCTTGCTCAAAGTGTCCACTTGGTTGTCTTGGAGTGAGTTTGGGCTGAGTCTTTTATAGCTTCATGTTCCCTTCTCCTGTGTCTCAAAACTTTAACAAAGAACACTATTAAAAATAATTGAGATTAAACAATTTCATTTTTAAATAAAATTAACTCTATGTATTTGTGTAAAAAAAAAAATCAAGACTCTAAAGCTTAAGATATATTTAAGAATTGCCTAAATTGGATAAAAATTGTAGACATTTGATAATTATCGATGTGATAGACTGTTTGCAATTTAACGTTGATCACTCACTAGAGATGCGTTGAGCTATGCTACCATTTTTAATCTGGTGCTCGGGAATTAAATTACGCAATTTTCACTCATAATTTTGCACTATTCATATTAGTTTTCTGCCTCAATTAATGATCAATACTAAGCAGTTTATGATAATAACAACAATGCTATCAAAATATTAAGATTTTTCAACTGCGGTGATTAATTGTTTAATTGACTTTTTTCAGGTTACTGACCCAACTCGGGTTCTTGGACTCATGTTGGCTTTAGTCTTTGATCCATTGAATCAAAATTAAAATCCAATGAAGCACTTATCCGAGGCATTGAATTCGAGAATATATTATATTCCATTTAGGGCCCTTGTTTTCTGTCATTTTTATTCCCCGTTGCATGCTTGTATATTTAATCTTGTGATTTTTCTAAATGGCATGCACATCTAGTTAAAACGATGAATGAGTTTTGCAAGATTTTGTTTTATGGAAATCGTGTGATGGGAATTTTTTAAGATGAATCTGACAATACTCAGTTGGATGTGCAAATGCAAATAGTAGTCTGAATGCTATGTAACTACGAAGCAAGGTAAATGCAAAAAATGTGCTTCATATAGAAAATCACTTAATTGGATCATTGGTGGGACGGTTTGGATATTCAGGGATGTATACCGAGAATTATCCTTGCTCAGAACAGGGATTCCAATGTAAGAATGGAAACCGTTGTAAGGAGCAAAAATATTGCCGAGAGAATTTTTTAGAGAAAGAGACAAAATATTACTGGATGATGATGTATTGATTTTCCTTTGCCCACATGCTGAAATAGTACCTCATTTGTTACAATTGCTTGAGAGCAAAAAAGCAAATTCTAACAACCTCAATGACATCTCACAATTCATTAATCATCATCTATTAGATAAAATTGGAAATGAAATAAAAACATAAACATTTATTATTAAGTGTCACATATATACTGTGACAATACCCGCCCCTATAAGTACACCGTTGACCTTAAGGGTGGAAATGAGGGAACTTGTGAAGTAGATCATAGTAGAATTCCCAGGAAGCTTGATCGTGAGGCAAATTCCTCCACTTAACCAACACTTTTGTAGCAGCTATGCGGCCCTGCTTCACCATCTTTTGGTCTAAAATCGCCTCTGGCTCCCCTTTTGTACTAAAGGCATCCCCATCAACTGGCAAAGGATGAAAGGGGCTGATAGTAGGATCCATGCAAAGCTTCAGTTGTGAAACATGAAAAACATTATGAATTATAGCTGTAGTAGGTAACTCTAACTAATACGCAATTTGTCCAATACGATCCAGAACCTTAAATGGGCCATAATACTTTGGTAAAAGCTTATGCAAAGTACTATGACGCATGGAATGTTGTCTGTGGAGGTGTACGTGGACGACATGGTCGTCAAGACATTGTCAGCCGAGGCTCATGCCATTGACTTGGCCGAGGTGTTTAGCCAAATCCGAAAACACAATATGCGTCTCAATCTAGAAAAGTGTGTTTTTGGCGTCCAGGGAGGTAAATTTCTTGGCTTTATGATCACCAGCAGGGGGATTGAAGCCAACCCGGAGAAGTGCAAAACCATTATACAGATACAAAGCCCCCAGACTGTCAAGGATGTCCAATGCTTGGAAGGAAGGTTAGTCTCTCTCTCCCGTTTCATCCCCAGGTTGGCAGAAAAGGCAGGGCCTATCTTCACCTTGCTACGGAAGCCAAAGAACTTTGAGTGGACCAAGCAATGCGAAGAACCTTTCAAGAGCTTCAAAGTCTTCCTCGCGACTCCACCGATTCTTTAGAGGCCAGATCACCACGCCGAACTCCTCCTCTACCTGGTTGTGGCAGAGGGCACGATCAGCGCAGTCATAGTACAAGAGCACCACAAAGTGCAAACACCGATTTACTTCATCAGTCGAGTCCTTCAAGACACGAAAAAGCGATACCAGACGATCGAGAAGCTGGCATTAGCGCTCGTCACCGCAGCTCGACGTCTCCAACCTTACTTCCAAAGTCACCAGGTGGTCGTCAAAATCGACTACCCAATTAAGCAAATCTTGAGAAAACCGGGGCTCGCTGGGCGTATGACAGCATGGTCAATGGAGCTATCCGAGTTCGGCATCCAATAAGAAAGCCAAGGCCCCTTGAAAGCTCAGTGCCTAGCAGATTTCATGGCCGAACTCACCCCCACCTTGGCAGAAGAAAAACAGGTATAGACTCTACATGTTGACGGATCTTCCAACTCTAAAGGTGGTGGTGTAGGTGTCATTTTAGAAGGACCAAACAACGTCACAATAGAGCAATCCCTCAAGTTCAGTTTTAAAGTCACCAATAACCAAGTGGAATATGTAGCGCTTCTGGCAGGGCTGAGGTTGGCTCATGACCTGGGAGCACAAAGAGTAAGTTGCAACAGTGACTCAAAGCTCATGGTGGAGCAACTTAGCGGGGCATACCATACTAAGGACACCCTTCTACAGAGGTACTTCCATGCAGCATCTCAGAAGATCTCATCCTTTGACGAGTTCACCATACACCATGTGCCCTGAGAGCAGAATGCCAGAGCCGACCTCCTATCCAAGCTCGCCAGTACCAATCGCTTTGGACAACACCAGGCCATCATCCAAGAGACCCTGAGTTCACCCAGCCTAGACGACAATGTCATCAACGCCAGTGACAACGAAGACCAAGGATGGATGGCAAGCATTTGGAACTACTTAAAGGAGGGAACTCTACCCGAGGATAAAGATGAAGCTCGGAAGATAAGGGTAAGGTCAGCTAAGTTCGTCATCGTCAGAAATGAATTGTTCAAACGCGACATCTCCACCCCACTGTTGAAATGCTTAGCAGAATCCCAAGCCACCTATGTCATTAAAGAGATCCACCGAGGGATCTGTGGGATGCACTCTGGGGCCCGCTCGATGGCGACCAGGGTATTCCAGGCTGGGTACTACTAGCCCACATTGAAGTCGAATTGCCAAGCTTATGTACAAAGGTGTAAGGAATGTCAACAGTTTGGCAACGCACATCGGCAACCACCTGAAGTTCTCCACCAGATGATGTCATTGTGGCCTTTCGCCCAGTGGGGAATGGACATCCTCGGACCATTTCCCCCCGCGAAGGGTCAACTCAAATTCCTCCTAGTGGCAATCGACTACTTCACCAAGTGGATCAAGGCATGCCCACTTGCCAAGATCACTGCCGAGAATGTCCAGAAATTCATCTGGAAGAGTATCATTTGCGGGTTTGGCATCCCACATTCTCTCGTCACTGATAATGATAGACAGTTCATCGCGCAGAGCTTCGAGGACTTCCTCCGAGAGCTCGGAATCAAGCATCTTCCAACCTCGGTGGAGCATCGCCAAACCAATGGCCAAGCCGAAGCCGCGAACAAAATAATACTCCGAGAACTCAAGAAGCGACTAGGAAGTGCCAAAGGTCAATGGGTCGATGAACTCCCCAGCATTCTCTAGGCGTACCACTGTACCCCCCAATCAACAACGCAGGAAACGCCTTACAGGCTGACCTATGGAGCCGATGCCATGATCCCAGTGGAGGTCAGAGAGACTTCTCATCAACGTCAAACCTTCGACAGTGAGAAAAACGCTCAAGAAATGGTAGTCAGCCTCGACCTGGTGGATGAGGTCAGAGAGGAAGCCCGGATCCATGAAGAAGCCTGCAAACTTCGAGCCTCTAGAAGATACAACACGCGAGTTTGACCTCGCTCTTTCCGGGTTGGCGGCCTAGTGTGGCGACTACTAGGCGAAGCACGAAGAGACTCATCAGAAGGAAAACTCGCACCTAACTGGGATGACCCATTTCGAGTCACAGAAAACCTTAAAAATGGGGCGTACCGACTAGAAGAGCTCAACAGAAAACCTATCCCCTAAACTTGGAATGCCACGTATCTCAAGTTTTACTTCAGTTGAAATGTACAAACGGGTTATGCATTCTTTTCCCGACTCAGTCTTTTGTCCCAAAAAACAGAAAAATGGGTTTTGACTGAGAGGGTTTTTAACGAGGCATAACTTTAACATCAATAAAATGACTCATTCCACTCATATCTCCTTATTAATTTTACACCGCATTGGCGCGGATTACACTTTGTTAAACCATGGTCAAATTTGAACCTTGGTACGAATTATGTTACGATAAGCCAAGGTCGAATTCGAACCTTGGTACGAATTATGTTACGATAAGCCAAGGTCGAGTTCGAACCTCGGCGTGAATTGCATTATGTTAAGCCAAGGTCGAATCCGAACTTTGGCGCAAATCACACTATGTTAAACCAAGGTCGAATTCGAACCTTGGTACGAATTATATCACGTTAAACCAAGGTCAAATTCAAACCTTGGTACGAATTATATCACGATAAACCAAGGTCGAATTCGAACCTTGGTACTAATTATGTTACGATAAGCCAAGGTCGAGTTTGAACCTCGACACGAATTATATCACGTTACGCCAAGGTCGAATTCAAACCTCGGCGAAAATTATGGTCAAGTTCGAACCTTGACACGATCACAATTAACAAACAAAGGTCAAGATTAAACCTTCACAGGCCAAGTTTGAGCCTCAGAACGCATAATGTAGGACAAGTTTCAAACCTCCAAAGCAGCCCAAAATCCCAGATTCAATTCCTAGACTAAAGTCGAAGGTCAAATTCGAACCTTAGCAAAACGAGAATCATCAAAAGAATGAGACAAGAACCGCAAATGGAAAAGGCAAATTATTTACATAACAAGTTCATCAACATAAAACATGAGTTCAGAAAGTAAGAAAAATAAACTAAGTCATTACAGGACAACAGCCTAAGCAGTGGTATTCTCGCTCGAGCTATCAGGGAGGTCGTCTTCATTCACCAGCCGTCCACCTAACACATCTTTCTCTACGTGCATGGCGGAGAAGTCGACCCCTGGTGCCAACACCCTAGCTTGATGAGCCGCTTTGGCAAACCCCTTCTTGTGCTCCCTCAAGACGGCCTTCTTGGTTTCGACGAGTTTCCCCTCCAAGCTCGCCCTTGCCGCTGTCACCCAATCAAGGTCGGCCTTCAAGGCACCTACCTCTTCCTCTTTACCGGCCAAAAGCACCTCATCACAGAGATGCCTCTTGGCCGCTTCCGCCAACTCAGCCTTCAACGATGAGACCTCGTCTTCTAGGGAGCGCGCCCGGCCTCGAGAAGAATTGGTGATCTCTTGAAGCTCGCCGACCTGGGCAGCGTAGACGTCGTAAGCCCTCAAAGCAATCTCCAAAAACTTCTGAGTCCTTGGGAGATCCTTCCTCGTGGCTTGCAGCTCGGCCTCATTCTTCTTTAGTGCCTCGCTCAGAGCGGCCCCCAAGGCCCAGTTCTCCTCCTCCAGGGGTTGGACTCGGCTTCTAGCACTCTCGAGCTCCCCTGCAGCTTCGACCACTTGCGCTTCCAATGATCCACAATGGTGATCGACCTCTGCATGAAGACCTCCGCAAAATCAAGGCCCTCCACTAGACCGACCTTCTCAATCATCGCCTTGTCAGCCGAGCAGAGCACACCTCTCGGGTAGAAGGTCTCGGCGGTCACCTTCGAACTCCACATCGAGTCCACATACGATGACACGCTCACATGGTC